TAGAGCAACTCTCAATCGCCAACGTTATCTTTAGGTCTGGGAATGGAATTCCGAGACTACGGCCATGGCCATAGAAGCAAGCCAGCATGGTTGATTGACTAGAGTGTAACATGTTTCAAATAAACAAGTAATATTATGGATTAATAGACTTTTATGTGCATTTTTCGACTGTGGGTTGTGACATAGCCTACAAGTTGTAGAATGTGGAGCTACGATAGAAAGTTAGTTAGATATTCACGAAAGGTAGAAGTCTACCGTACTTCCATTTTCCCAAAATGGCCATAATCTGCCGAAAAATTTTTACTCAGACAAAATGACAGACTGTTTGAAAGTTTCACCTGACAAGTCGTGGAATTTGACCGGACTGTGTCCGTGTCCAACCAATTATTTCCAGGCATGGTCTTACCATATAATTACATGATTTGATTAAACACAATGGCTACTGAATCACTCACGTGATATCATGTCACTCATAAATACAGAAAAACTGATCGGTAAGATAAGTTTCACCTGACAAGTCGTGGAATTTGACCGGACTGTGTCCGTGTCCAACCAATTATTTCCAGGCATGGTCTTACCATATAATTACATGATTTGATTAAACACAATGGCTACTGAATCACTCACGTGATATCATGTCACTCATAAATACAGAAAAACTGATCGGTAAGATAAGATTAAGATTTCAGTGTTCCACTTTTCACTATTTGTAACATAATTACTTATTTCCATGTAAATTTTGATGATATGTGTTGAAAATTTTGCAATTAAACCTAATTTTACTTGCTCAAAGCCTCGATTTATCACAGCTACAAATATTGCAGCAATCAACAGGTCAGAAACTTGTTAGATATGTTTTTTTTCTTCAAACTTTTGGCGATTGTTACTTAGGCTAGTCCTTAGGAACCCTATCAAAATTCTGTGTTGTTCACTGATTAAAATGCCTGTTACCAAAACCTTGTAAATGAAATTGCCCCGTCACTAAAACCTTGTAAATAAAACTGCCCGTCACCAAAACCTTGTAAATGAAACTGTCCCTTTCCCCAAAATCTTGAAAATGAAACTGCCCCTGTCACCAAAACCTTGTAAATGAAACTGTCCCTGTCTCCAAAACCTTGTAAATGCTCTACAGGTCAGATTTTATACTGTGGACGTGTATTGTCATTGCCCCTGTCTGTCTGGACATTTGAGTTTTTATACACCCACATTTTCATGTGGACATATATGGGGTGTTGGGATGGCCTAGTGGTCTAAAGTGCTGCGCTTCGACCTCTAGCTGACCGGTCACCTCTGTCTTGCGGCTTGGAGATAGGGGCGCTAAGATAATAAAAAAAAATAATAAGATTTGTCTGCGATATCACCTTCGGTGGAAGCGGATGTTAAACACTAAGAAGAACAGAACAATGTGGACATATATTGTCATCGCCCCTGTCCAACCGACTGTGTGTTTGTCCATTCACATTTGGTTTGTGGACACTCTACAGGTCACAATTTTTATCCAATTTTAACAAAATTTGAAATATAGGTGTATCTCCCAAAGATCTTGTTACTTTCAAAATTGGCATATATCGGACTGTAACTTCCTGGATTGTTCGAAAAATCACGTCTTTAGCTTGTGGACCATCTAGAAGTCACAATTTGGATTCAATTTAAAAAACGTTTAAATATATCACCATTACACCTCAATGAAGGTTGAGTTGGAATTTCATAATAATCGGACCGAACTTGTCAGACAAAATGGCTGCCCCTTGTACGCAAGTCTAAAAGTATTTGATTTTGATGAAACTTATGTTTGTTTATATCACAAAGATCTCATTCCTTTCGATGATTGTGCACATTGGAATGTAACTTCCGGGATTATGGCCCCTGATTGTTTGAAAAATCATGGTTTTAGCTTGTGGAACCCCTATATAGAGGTCACAATTTTTATTTGAATTAAAAAACTGTTTAAATATATCACCTTTACACACTAATGATGGTTGAGTTCGAATCTCGTGAAGATCTAATTAAAACTACTTGACAAATTTGCTGCTACTTATACACAAATAGTGTAAAAGAATGTAATGCCTAGGTTGTGGAGTCATGGACCCTATCGGAATTCAGATTAAGGTAACTGATTTTTATATGCCCACATGGAAATGTGCTTGTATGTAGTAGTCACCCATGTCGACCATTGTCCACTATTTTGTATATCTATGCTATAAGTAAAGACACGAGAGGCAAGTTAGTAAGAAGTCATACTGAAATGATGAGGATGATGAAGCCAGTTTAACTTGTACTTCTTTTTATAAACTACATCTTAAATTTGTCAATACATGTAAAATCAACACATTACTTTGGTCAGTTTGGGGCTAAAGTAAATGGTCAATTTCATGTCCATGTAACTGTGAAATGGAATTGGGTTAAAATGTGAAATTGTCATTTTTGAAATGAGAATGAGGTTATCAGTAGTCCAATATAATTAGATAACATTACGTGACGGGTTGCATGATCTCTGATGTAAACATTGTAGTTTATCTATTTTAATATAGTTTTTATTATGTTGTTTATCAAGTGTACCCTACTTGTGCAAACTTTTAAACAAAGATAAATTAATCTTAGTCTCATACTTGATAATTAATGTACGAATATGTGACATCTTCATTACTTGAATATCTATTCAAAAACGATCAATATTAAAACTGCATATTGACAATTAAAGCATGAACTATTTCCAGAAATGATAAAAATAATCAGTCATTAAAATATTGCGATATGTTGACTTTCAAAATATATTGTTTAGGCGCAACATATTGCAGATTATTGTTACAAGGCAGACTCAACTTTTCTAGAGTAAAATTTTGCTTAGAATACAATGCCAAGTGGTAATCAGTCCGCCGTTGGGGCATTTTCAATATATTTGGGGTCAAAGGTCAAATGGGTTCATTTGCACTCTAAGTGAATTTGCAGTCGTTCTTGTATCATGAAAATAAGCTGAAAATGATCGAAAGTAATCACACTTTCAATAAAAATGTAAACTTGCTAAATTCACCTTTGTTCTTTGTGACCCCAGAGATCAAAAGGTCAAATTTTCCGTTTTAGCACTAGGAAGATTTAAAGTAATAAATGTCCCCGTAAAATAAAAAAACTAAAGCGAAACCTGTTCTAATTAATAATAGCAACATTTAAAATTTATCTTTAGGTGGTCTTAGGACCGAACTTTTACTTTTTCGAACGGTATGTTGTTGATCCAAAATTATTACATATTCATAATCTACGCAAAAAAGTTACTCTAAATAAACATGTTTGAGGGTTATAGGTCATTTAGAAGTAATTTTAAAATCAACATGAAAAGTCAACAATTTTGATCGTAGCCATTAAAACTCCATCACCGCATAGATTTCACGTGCAAATTAAAAATATAAGCCCTCAAATACACAAGATGGAGTTTAATGTACGTTATAGTAGGGTAATGGAAGGTTTTTTTTATCAAACTTTTTCAGAATTTTAACCTCTGTCCCACATGGCCAAAATTGGTATATTTTGTACATTTTCAGTGTGCATTGAATTTTGAGACCGAATATTTTAAAAAGTATATATCCCTTGGACTCAAAATCTTTTGTAAATTGATAAAATACCAACTGACATTAACTATGCCAATTTTGAAGGTTATGTATACAACAGTGACTTTGTCAGTGAACAGTTCATTTGTTCCGCATTTTGCCACCTGGTGGCCCAAAAAGTTTGAATCACACATTGAGTGTGATGCTAAATTTGTAATCTACACCAAAGTTTTCTTAGATTACAAAGTTAGAGAGTTCTGCTCCAATTACAAATGTGAGTTTAAAGCACCTGAAAACCCTAAAAATATTATTGAATTTATGGTCCGTTTCAGTACCCTTATTTCAAATGACCATATCTCAGCGAGTTATTTATCTAGAGAGGTAAACTTTCGGATTTCTTAGTTTAAGACCATATACTATAACATATATTTTTTATAATTATTTTGGAGGGGGTCATGTTCCACCATTGGTCCAGTTGACATGGAATGACCCATTAGTTATGCACCTTGAGCATTAACTTTAATAGATCTGTGCGCTTTATAAGAACTCGCTATTATTATTAGTTCTAATTAAGTGAGAGTGATCAAACTTGGTGTATACTTTCATCACATCTATACCTTGACTAAGTTCGACAATGAACATTTTCTGCTGAGGGTAAGCAGAGCAATAAGCAATTTGATTGGTCGAGACTTTGGAACACAATAACTCTTTTCCAATTGAGGTAGAATGTTCAAACTTCGTGTAGGCGTTCATTTGGTGAATGAATTGATGGAGTTCGATGATGAACATGGTCTGCTTACGTTAAGCAGAGATAAGCAATTTGATTGGTTGAAGCTTTTGGACACGATAACTTTGTGAGAGCGATGAAACTCCGAGTATAGATTCATCATATCATTACCTTGACTAAGTTCGATGATGAAAATTTTTTGCTTAGGCTAAGGAGCGATAAGCAATTTGATTGGTCAAGACTTTGGAACATAACAACTCTGCTTTGGAACATAACAACTCTGCTTTTAATTGAGATAGAATGTTTAAACTTGATTTAGATGTTCATTACTGTCATTAGGTAAATATCTTGACTGAGTTAAATGATTAACATTTCCCGCTAAAGCTAAGCAGAGTTAAGCAATTTCTTTGACTTTGATTCTATCTGATAGAGAGTGATGAAACTTAGTGTATAGTTGATAATCAGTTACAGTTTGATTGCACGATACTTTTGAAAAAGATCAATTTGCAACTAATTAATATGTGTCATCTATTTATTTCGGGATTTCAGCGGGGGACATCAGCATCACTGTTGGCTTGTTTTATTTTGGAAGCATTGTAATCCAATGATCCAGAGAGTTGGTTATGGGCTTATATTACCAAATGTCTAAATGCTGGTTTATATAACATTTGAGGCAGATTTAGCTCTTACATAGTGCATCTTTAAAATAATTTATTTGATATTTATTTCAGTTGTGAAGAATGCATTTTGTATGGAGACAACTAAAAAGAAATGGTACTGTGCTGTTGACAATGGAATTGAGAAGTTAAACTGGATGACTGTTTTAGAGGAGACTATCCGGGCTGTATTAACACGATAAGAAAATTTGAACCACAAAAAAAAACCCAAAAACACTTTCATATACTAATTTCTACTTTTTTATGAATGTTTTAATGTCAATGATTAAAATAGATATCAATGTTTGCATTAATTAAATCAGTTTTTGTTAACTAAATAAATCTTATCTGATTCATGTTGTCATTAACACAGGTACAATTTTATGGATACACATTTACTGGATTTATTACTATTTGTATACATTTGTCTACCAACTACAAGCACATATTTATCATTTCCTTAATAAAGAAGTTGAAAGTTGCATAGTCATAAATCCAGTAATTGTGTGTCTATAAAATTGTACCTGGTGTTAATATGTTCACTTATTAAATGCCTATCAAAGATGTCATATTGTCATTGTTTTACAGCCCACTAAAAGAATCTTTTGTATGTTTGTATAACATTCCTAAATATATAATCTAATTTTATCATATACATGTATATTCCATATAAGCAATATTTTACAACTTTTATATATGTAATGGTTTAAAGTGATAATACAATTATTGCATTTACAAATTTTATAAGCATTCTCTAGTGTGTTTTACTTATATCAGTATTATTTTTAATGGGATTTATTGGATTTAAAAATTGTCTATTGATCAGTATTATGTGGAATTTATTTATTTTAATACAAACAATATATTATTAATTTATTTTTTAAATTTGGATCAGTAATTGAATATGTTTAATTGGATTAAATTATTTTGGTATTTAAATAAGAGATGTAAATAAAGAATATTTTTATTTTGTGAATATGCTAAATGTATTTATTGTAGTAGTTTATGTTTAGAATCTTGTGGTATGAAATTAGTGTTTGTACTAAATCGTGACTATAAGATATATTATCATTATTATATTATATATCATCTTAAATTTCCCACTGCTAAGGACTCCTACGTGCAAGCAAATTATTGAAATAAAATTGAACCATGTGTTAGTTTGTGTCGAGTGGACGTTAAACCCTATTTCTCTCGTTCTCTCTCTCTCTCTAGAAACTAATAAGCATTGCAAAGAGTATTTTTTCGAACTCTTAAAGATAAGTCTTTTTGAGAAATATTTCGGCACAGCCAACTTTGATGTATTGTTCGGATAGGCTTTTGTTTGAATGCTCTTTAAATATGTCATTTAATTTTCCTTGTTAAAATTCAAATATTGATACATGATATGTTATATGAAATAAATATAATCCCATCCTGCTAATTGTCTGGCAACTTCTATTTTTTTAATAATGTTTTTTATTATGTATCAAACAAATATCAAGTCTACTTAATGCATGTATGAATTTCAATCATAAATCAGCTGATGGACCTTTGACCTACACTTGTCAAAATCTTCAGTGGGATTATTTATGACAATGAAGATTTATTTATTACATAAGTATTAAAATGATAGATATCTGATATTATATACTTCAAATCTTTTGTTTTCCTTTTAACACAAGATTTATAGATGTATAACTTACATGTACTTATTTTGTAAACAATATATAGAAACAAGTACAGTACAGGTATATAGAGTTTGTAAATTAGCATAGCAACTTGTTGTTGTTTTTTTTAAGTTGGGGGGGAGGGGATTTTTTCTTTGATTTTTTTTCCTTTCCTCTAAAATTTTATGTCAGGCTATGAAATGCTTATTTGTTAAAATAACTTATTTTATAACTTGTATATTAGAGTCTATTTACATGATAGAGAGGTAACAAACATGTAGTATATAGTAATGGCATAAGTAAAAAAAAATTACATTATTTTACAGATTCACACATTGCTTTGTCCACAATAATACAAAACTTATTATAATTCTGGCATTACCTTTCCTAATCAAAGATCATATATATATATTTCAAACTTAACTGATATCTTAGTGATAAAACTGGGATATTTGCTTCTATTTATCACACATATCATATATTTACATTGGTTTATTTTGTTATATCACACAGTGTGTTAAATAATTAAAGTATATTAAACTTCCAAATTATATTCCTATAGTCTTTTATTGTCTTGCAGGAACTATCCATGGTGAACTGTATCCATATGTGTATGCCATTGCCACCAAAACTGTTGTGTCGACCACAGCTGTTCCCTGGGCACATATTCACTGAATTATGCCAAATGATATAAAACCTGACAATTTTGGACGTATCTTGGAACCACATTCATTCTTCAAACTAGTTATTTCTACAGTTGAAACACTGCTATTTTGAGATCTAGAGTCTAAGGGTATAATGTATTGTAGATCTTGTATTTGTCACAAGCAAATTATTGAAATAAAATTGTACCACATGTTAGCCCCAGTGAACCTAGTTTGTGTCGGGTTAAACATGTTTAAATCCAAGTTGTATCCAAGCCATCCTAGGGTCACGGAGTTGATTTTGAGCTTGTCATGTAAATAAATGTCTTATTAATAATTTCTATAACATCTGAAGCCTAAATAAAGACTTGTAATAGGCAGATTTAGCTCTTGCATAATGTATGTTTAACTAAAGTATATCTGAGGCGGTTCCTTTAACCTTATCTAGTTCTAAACACTTTCTGTAAAATCAAAACTTCAGAAAAAATCAGATTATTAATATCATGAAAGAAGAAAAACAAAAAGGAATTGTTATTTTATGGGAAATCTGACCTAGATTCCACTGATCAGGTCACTATGTTGTACTAAATAAGTCTATTTATATGTCTCTCGTTGTGCTGTAGATTGTTAGTGTGACAATATTAACACCACCGGAATTAATTTGAATATCGACTGCCTTAATTTGATCTATTGGAAAGATGTACAAGCAAAGTTTCATCAATAAAAGTTCAAGAAAATTAATAGATTAGATGATTGGTTATCGAGTACATTAAAGAATTGATTGCATCAAACGACCGTTAATTATCAGATGATATTTTTAAAAAATTCTACTAGTGTCAAATTTTCCATGATATGGATAAAAGAAGCATATTTTTCTCTCAACCGTTTATTCACTGCAGATAGCGGAGATAACTTGTTACAAGATTAAAAAATAAAAAATTTGTAGATTTTTTTTTATCTTTCAATAAAGGAAATTTGAAATTAAATTCTTAACCGGATCACAATTTCTGATAAATTTTCAGACTTCTAATAGTGTCAAATTTTCCATGATGTGGATAAAAGAAGCAGAGATAAATGGTTTCATGTTACAAGATAAAAGATTTGTCGATTGTTTTTGCTCTTTTAATAAAGACATTTTGAACTGAAATTCTTAACTGTATCACAATTTCAGATCAGATGAAAGATTAGTAGAACACCTACAGAAGGTAAAAACATGCCCCTAGAAGTCCATGTCATAGATTCCGAGAATGACAAAGGAAACAACGTGGTTGGCAAAATTTCAGCAAAATAAACATGTGTTTGGGACACTAGGAAGGGTGGGGTTGGTACCACAGAGTTTTGTCCAGTGCCAGACGGTGCAAATGGTGTAGCTCAACCACTTACAACAAAACGGTTCCACAATAACTGCACCCTCCCCCAGCAAATCTGAATAATCAATATTCAATTTAGAAGATCTTCTATATTTTTCGCTAAGCCGCAACATTATAACATTAGAAAACCGTTACTAAAGTTACAGGGTTTCGCAAATGGAAATCTGATGAACAATCCGAAAATTTAATATTAATTGATATTTGGCCAAATTATGTTAATTGTCCATCCCATATATCATATGGAAATGAATAACAAGTTTTTCGACTGAATATTTATAACGCGAGAAGAGGTTAATAAGTCGGCTGCAGTATTCGGAAGGATTTTCTCGGAGATAAATGGTGTAAATATAAATATGGTCGGTAAGAATTGAAGTTTAAAATTTTTACTTGCTAGCTTGGGTGATAAATCAGCCCCAGTTTGCTATAGTTTCATTTTTTAAAATCATGGTGCGAATCGAATCATCTATTTATTTTTAATTAGTGGCGGGTGTCATGCGCGAAACAGTGTATGCTTAGAACACGCTGCCTAATGACTAGAAATTGTTACGGAATCTGAGGCCAGTTCTTATTAGGCAGTGGAGCAAATTTTTTTTTTCAGCATTTACCCCACTGCTTAATGCCCCGATGTTCTTATAACTCAGTCTATTTGTTATCTTGCCAACTTGGAGAAAGATTTATATTCTGTTTATCATTGTAGTGTTTCTGATTCCATTAGTACTTCACCTACTTTCATTGGCATTGTCCTTTTAAACCTTCTGTACGAATAGCAGTGTCCAGAGTGGACTTAATGAAGAAATTACGGTTGAACTAATACTGATTGTTTTGTCTAATTCCCTGGTAATAGAACCTCACTAGATCAATATGTACAATATATACAACCTGCTAATCATTTTAAACTCCACGAAAGTCAACCAGTGTTATACCTTACGGCTTTCTCTCGCAATGTTATAGTCATCTTTGTTTTCCTATCAACCCAGTTTTATAGAAAAGCCCAGAAGGAGCAGTTACAGCAGTGTGATATATTAAGTAAACCCCCACCCCTCGCCAGTTGACATCCGTCTCAGATATACTTTAGTTAAACATACATTATGGAAGAGCTAAATCTGCCTATTACAAGATTTTATTTAGGCTTCAGATGTTATAGAAATTATTAATTAGACTTTTATTTACATGACAAGCTCAAAATCAACTTCGTAGACCCAATGATGGCTTGGATTTAAACAGTCGTCCATTTAAAATTAAGTCAATAAATGGCGGACCAAGCTAACAAATACCGTTATTCACTGACGTCACTACCGGAGACTTTTGATGAAAGGCCTACCAAGCGAGGGTACCATAACCATTGAGAATGTTACTTGATAATCGAGAATATGTGGGTGGAGTTATCGTCTGACAATCAAACGATCGGCAATTCTCGTAGACCGTGCGGACACAGTCATCCAAACTTCCAACAGTGACATCTCCGTTCAGAATAAAGTAATTTGACTGAAATTTTCAATATTATCTCTTTTTTTTTCATCTATTTTTGAATTATTATAGCAAGAATGGCCAACTCTTTATTAAACTCTGAAAGGAACTAAATCGCTAATATTTGGGACATAATGTAATATGAATGTATATAAACTGATTTACATCCAATCGTTTCCGTTTTTACTCTAATTTCAAATCAGTTATGTTCGGCGAAACACGTCAGAAGGATCAATCGAATGGCAATCTCTAGCGTCTGGTTATTCCAGTCTACATAGTATTTATTGCGCATGCTCTCCAGATAAGAATATGCCGTCACCGTTTGACATGACTTGTGGAATATTTCTAGACTAGTTCTTTGAATCCCTTGTTAAAAATGGGACTGAAACGCATTATGGTACACGATTCGTGTACCAATTATGGTAAAATGTTTATTTTGTCTTAAATATTGGACATCAGAAGACCATCTTTTCCCGCTAGCCTGGAGGTCGGGTGTTTGATCCCTGCATTGGCCGAGAAAGTTCATCTAGTCAGGGCTTTCACGCTGTGTATAATATATCAATTAACTCCGGAACACTGCAATATTGCAATAATATATATTATGTGCTTCACCAACACTAACATCG